TTCGAAGAAAAACAAACTGTAACACTTTACAGCTTGAAATTTATGCAGAATATATTCTGCCGAGAGAGAGGAAAAATCAAATGTGTTTTCAAGATATTACGTCGACTAGTTTCCTACGAAAACAAAAAGATACCAAATAAAAATGACAAGAGCACAACGTTGCAAAGGAGAAATACGTGGTTTTGCATTTTGGCGATGGATTATACGGACGTATTTCTGTCAAACGGAACTATGTGCATTAAGACATGAGTCCTAAGACCCATAAGAATATATGAATAACAGGGCTCACGTCATAATGCACATAGTTCCGTCTGAGAGAAACACGTCCATATCTTAAAATGACTGTATAAATGTTTCGGTTTTACGGTGATGTCAGAGCGGAAGACGGGGGCAACATGGTCAGCGACGTCCCTAGGGACGGGCTGGGATGGCGGAAGCAACAAGTGGAGTGTCCTGGGGTGACGTCATGGATAAGTCAGGAGCTTGATCTGGAAGCCGATCTCCGTCCTGATCCCGCGCGCGGCGTGAAAGCAACAAGTACTCCCGCGGTCCCTTCTAAGGGTCGCCGCACGCCACCAGCATATCCCCGCCGTCCTCCGCAGCCACCATGCGGGACAAGCCCCAACGTTGCCAAGTCATGATTTATCATCCCTTCCCATCCATACTGCACAGGTTAACTCACAGTGCCTGCCTTTAGAAACGCCTCATTAATATTGGACCAGTACACAAGGTACCAACTTCATCATTCTCATGCCTGTTATCGGCCAAAACTTGTACAGAGAACACGATTCGCGCAACTACAATCACTGGTTCCAACTCCTTTCCTTAGATGTTAACGTTTTTCGTGGTTTGCATTATGACTAAAGGAGATTCACAGAGATCCTTATCAGAGAATGATAAAAAAGACAATTTTTGCAAACCTGGAATAAAATTTAGCAATATATAGGTATTTGAAACCGGGAACCTCATAGGGATTACAATGGTTTCAAACTGCATAAAGTACAAAATATGGAAGGAAAAGTATTGCGAGTTGCGTGATTTTAAGGTAGGTTTGCTTCTTTCTTAGAGTTTGTAAACATTTTAGAATTTTTATTATCACATTGACATTGCGTACTTTTTGCAGTGGCAAATCATTTGCAAAGGTCCGTTTCCAAAGTAATATTGCTGAATTTTACTTGAGGTTGACATTATCCCTTTTATAAGCTTCCAGGACTTTATGTCCACCTACCTTTCGTCCATTAAATAAATGTCCACCGCTATTTATGTCCACTAAACGTTAAGTCCAGTCTTTATTAAGTCCACATGATTTAATGTCCTACCATGAATATGTCCAAAATTGTCCAAATTGTAGACATGTTATGTCCACATTTTTTTTTTCTCATTTAAATGACAGGAACCACCTCAAAAATAAATGCATACTAGTACTACCTTCATTCTTAAAACATTTCATTCATGAATCAAGTCATGAAAAAGAACAGACTCTAAGAGCAGATAAAAACATATGTTCATGTGTACACTGTACGGATATGATAAGATGAAAACCAAAGCGGGAGCCAAAGAAACGCTCCAATGCCAAATTAAACATTTTTCAGTAACAGACTACTAGTTATTTCGTGCGCCTTCAATCTTGTAGGATACTGTGCAACGCCTCTGACGCGGAATAGTCGCTTAAAGCGTTGCGACGCGACAGAAAACCAGCGTGACACGCGCATAGGCGCCTACAAACCTAACGGGATACTTCACGCGTTGCGCAATGCGTGAAGTATCCCGGTAGGTTTGTAGGTACCAGTGCGCGTTCTGCGCTGCTAACACGCCGCTCCGCTCTGTTGGCTCTAATATTTTATTTAATGAAAGAACAACTTAATTTGGGGAAAAGGCTGCGAATAAAGAACAAAGAATAAACAAAACCCGGAACGTTTCAAAATAGTTACAATTTCATTTTCAACCGGAAAATAAATTAAAAACAAAAACGAGCCGTCGCTACGCTGTTATTGCGAGACCGAGCGCAGGAACAAACTTTGCAATTACCGCGCTGATGTTGATGGTCTCTGTGCCTCTTATCACCAGTTTTTCCTTCCAGAGGGAGCTGGTGATTAAATTTCCATCTTTTTTGTAATCTTTGTCTTGTGTGCTTTGATTTTTCTGCACTGTGCCGAGTCTGTTTACCTGGTAATCAGTCTCGGTCTCGCAATAACAGCGTAGCGACGGCTCGTTTTTGTTTTTAACTTATTTTTCGGTTGAAAATGAAATTGTAACTATTTTGAAACGTTCCGGGTTTTGTTTATTCTTTGTTCTTAATTTGAAAAGATGAATCGAAAGAAAAAATTAACATTTCATTTAAAATATGAGTTACGATAACAACACCTCATTCTCTCTTAATTTTCTCATTTCGATATTGTCGATATAATTTTACACACGGACTAAAATATGACGCTTGAATTTGATTTTAGTGGACTTTACATTTGTGGACTTAAGTTAGTGGACTTTTAAGTAATGGACTTAACAATAGTGTGGGCTTAGAACTAAGGACGTAAAAATTGTGGACGAAAAGTCTGTGGACGTAGAAAAAGTGGACATGAAGTCCGTGTACCTTCTGTAATGCTATTCGAAGGGTTTATTTAATCCTTCCTCAGTCACAATCAGTGTTCTGCATTCCCCCTAAAATTTTAGGGGGCTTTTTGGCCGGAAAGCCCAATTTTTAGGAGCCATCTACTATTTTTTAGGAGCCTGCATATGGGCCATGGCTATGCTGCGAGCGCTTCATCGCTACCGCTGCCTCCCGATTGCGAGTTCAATCTGTCAAATTTTTTAGGCGCCACGATGGCCCAGCCCCCCCAATTTTTAGGCGCCAAGGCCCTATTTTTAGGCAAATTTGGCGCATGGCGCTCGGGGAAGGCAGAGCACTGCTCACACGGCTTTATTTCTTAGGATTGGGAGTATTGTGAACCTATCGGGCGACATTCACCACTAATATTGGAAGCGTCGCGCGTCGTGTAGGAGAAAATGATTTGCCGGGCGAGTTGGCAAGAGCCCATTTCTGGCGATCCCTTTCGTGCGTTGAGAAGCGGGAGCCGCCAGCATAGCTTAGGATACACGTAGTCTCGTGGATCGGGAATTAGGGACCTCTCTTAGCTCAACCTTCAAAGCAAACTCACCCTTCTCTTCGCTCATTCATTATAATTCATTTTCCACAACACATCACTATTATACATCAGTGCCTTTTGTAATTTTCCCAATATTTCTTCTGACGCACGACAAGGACATACGTCTTTTCGGCTTGTTTTTCACAAAACTGACTTGCAATCGAAAATGAGTACATCCAATATTGATAAATCGATTAGATCGCATTTAGCAAAAAGGAACCAGCGCGATTACAGTGTTTTCAAAGTCGTGCAACTTCCTCTTCTCTTTTAAAAATACTTAATGTAAGCGAGAAAAAATAACACTAAGAAGTGGCTCGAACTGTAAGAAACAGGTGGAGAAATGGGTCCACACCATTTCGCGGGGAAAACAAAGCCAAGAAGTTCCAAAAATTATAATTAGAGTCAAAAAAAATTTTTTTTTTAATTCTAATGAGTACCAGTACAAAGGGGGGGGGGGGGGGAGTGCTCCAATGCGAACTACCTTAGCTGAACACTCCCCCTCCCCCACCTCAGTTTTGTACCGATACTCATTAGAGTTTTAAAATTTATTTTTGACTTTAATTAAAATTTTTGGAACTTCTTGGCTTTGTTTTCCTCGCGAAATGGTGTGGACCCAGCACCATTTGGACGTATTTCTATCAAACGGAACTAAGCGCCAATTTGAGTTCCTTTTGAGGAATTTAGAATCCCGGATAGCGCGTTCTGTCAAACGGACCTAAGCGCCATGGAAAAGCATTGCGAGTATAGGGCGGAATAAGCCGGACGCCCGATTCTGCCGCCAATCCAAGCCCCCCCTCTACCTTCCTCACCCTTTGGCGCATAGGTCCGTTTAATAGAAATACGTCCATTTCTCCACCTTGTTACTCAATATAAGTATAGTACTAAAATGTACACAATTATTTTTCTTTGAAATTAACAATATTTTGCTGGGAAGCAGAGACTGTTTGCAATTCTGGGAAATTTTTCAGATAGTTATGAGAAAGCATCATTTTTACAACACAGTAATCTTGTTGGTTGCACACATATAGGTCGCTTAGCACTCCCTCGCGCTCTACGACACCTAACCTCCACTGCTCTCTGTCGAATAACCACAACCCTTGGGGCATTGAGCACCTTAAAATTTCTGCCTCAATCCTCTCCCTCCAACATCTCATTGGGCGCCCTCTGCGCCTTCTCCCAGGAGGAACCCAATTATGGACCTCCTTCGGCAACATGTCTCCTGCCATTTTCTGAACTTGACCATACCAAATAAGTTGTTTTGTTGATTCCTCTTTGCTAAATGCAGTCCAATTGACCTTCGATGTATGAAAATCTTTTTGCATGACCTTTTTGATTACGAGACTATATTCATCTTTTGGAATTACACAAAATAGGTATCGCCAAATGAAGATGGTACTTTCATTGAAAATTTTGAATTCATTTATTTATTTGCCTCTCATTCACGACACAAAAAAGAAGTATGTGAATAAATAATTGAATAAATAAATAAATAGGTAATTAAATTGACAAAAGTAGAGATAAATAAATTAAACTATCGATAAATAAATATAATGGAAACGAATAAATTACTTTAGGAATAATTTAAATACATAGTTTTTCAAGTGGTTTCACCACTTGAAATAATTTATTGAATATTATCCTTGTTTAAAGCAAGAACAACTTCTTACATGATGGAATTTGATATGATTTTGATGATTTTCAAAAAATGAATGTAGAATTTGGTAACTCTGACAATGGTAACCTCAGTTGTCTCATCAAGTAGTTTTTCTATAAATTTGAGACTGTAGGTAACCTGCACAATGCACATAGGAAGGATGGTCCAACTTTATTATATTCTATAGAGATCTATGCAACATATTTTTTTTTTTTTTTTTTTTTGCTGCATTAAGGCACAAACGCCTGACCTTTAAAATAAACACTGGTGCAGCAATTTGAGAATTCATCGCTGTACATGATTTCATGTTGTAGAATTTTGAAAAACCCTGGAATTCAGTGTAATTTTGTTGATAATAAATGATTCTTTTATGTACTTTACCTCAAATTAAGTTATTTCGAATATAAATACATTGTTTTATTTTCAGAGAGTCCCATTTTCTATGAAGTGTATCATGATTCAATCAGGAACGAAGAGGAACTCATTGGTTAATGAGTGGATGAAAAGAATACATGATGTGTAATTTTGATTGGTATTAGCTCAAACATTTTCCCATTAAGGTCGAGCATGATGACCTGCAAAGTTGATTGCCAAACATAATGAGGCCATGTAGACCCCAAATATATTCACTTTCAAACGGATGCTTTTCACTCTTATTATCCTCTCATCTTGTTACATCGACTCGATCCACATTTCGAACATTTCTAGCTATGGATGCTTGAAAGCAATCCAAATCTTAACAACGTCGTGCCTTATTTTGCGACTTATGACTACGCGGTGGTTCTTGATTTATAATCTGTCATTTGGACGTATTTTTGTCAAACGGAACTTTGTGCACTATGACGTGAGCCCTGTTAATTATATATCATTATGGGACTCAGGGCTCATGTCTTAATGCACATAGTTCCGTTTGGCAGAAATACGTTCATTTGGATATTGAAAAGGATCAAATCGATGCAACCTAACAGAATGTAATGTATCCTGGCGTAATGCTCAATAAAATGGCGCACACAAGAGCCAAGGGAGGAGAACCATGCAATGGCGAGTATACTCCAAGGATTCCGAGGTATCCTCTTTGTAAAGTAAAGTTATTTTGCCGTTTGAATTCTGTTAAGTCATCGGTGAAACATGGATGAAGTCATCGATGGAATCGTTGACGACTTGATCCCTGAATGGTCAGTAACGTTAATGATGAGATCATCAGTTTGGTAATTAGTGAATCGTCGTGGTTAAGTCATCAGTAGAGTTCAGTTTGGTTGAGCGTTAGGTTTGTTCAAGTTCATGAGGTAGTCGGCGAGTCTCAGAGAAAGGCATCGGTGGAGTCATCGATGACGTTATTGGTGAATCTTGAGTGATGTCAATCGGTAGAGTTTTTAGTGTGAAAAATGGTTGAAGTAACTGGTTAAGTCATCGGTGGAGGTTACTATGAAGGAAACTGTGAGTCATAGAGAAAAGTTATTTCAAGAATATTCACACATTAGGTTTCAAGGTGTAGCCCCACGTGAGTATTAATCGGTCTCGGTGATGGTCGTTTAGTTGGATCCTTTTTTTTGCCACGTATACTCCTAGTATTCTCCTCCTCCTAAGACCACATGGAGAGATCCACCGGATTTCAGTCGATAAGAAACATTTTGTTACCCGGAAGAACTGACATCTACTCAGTTCTTGGGGAAAACTTTGAGGAACGGTAAGCTTTTGAAGACTTTGTTGACGATATCGTCGATGAGCATGTTGACGACGGACTCGACGGCCGGTTTCACCTCGTCAATGATGTCTTTGGCGTTTTCGTTCAAGAAGGAGTTTGTTGCAGCTCCTGCGAAATAAAATCACCATAGAGAAATAATGAACCTATACTCACTAAGAATGGGGCAGAAATTTTAAGGGGACAATTGAAAATGAAAGGCAATTCAACGGAATTCATTTTTCGATTATTAAGACCCGAAATTGGACTACATTTTGCAATTAGGAACTATAAATTCCGGCCCGGTTTAAAAACAACGTGTGTGCCATAAGTTTCCCCACGCACATTAGTGTTTTTTCAGATGAGCCAGAATTTATAGCTCCAAATTGCAAAATGCAATCTAATTCCGCCTGTGCATCTTTACTCTTGCAATCATCATAATGAATTCGTAGTCCTACGTGCCTACTTTTTTAGTCGTGTAGAGTTAGAAAGTATAGATGTTGTTCCTCCTAGGGAGGCAATAATCGCAGTTCTGAGGCCAATGTATCATTCTTATTGGGGTCGAACTATTTATTGCCACAAGAATAACATCGTTACTACAACAAGAAAAGTAAGTGGGGCGTGTATTCCACCACGAGCATCAGTAACAGCTACGATTATTTTTCCCTGTGCTGTTCTACTCTTTCTTTAAAGGGGTTTTTAGAGTCAAGAAAAAGCTCAGCATGTAGATGATAGTGTTTCTTTCCATCTTTCTGTTGAACGTCTATGCAAATTTTGAACTTATTTTGCACATTTGGATTGCATTTTGCAAAAAGGAACCACAAGCATTGCAATGATGCTAAGATTGTGTAAATTCATACTTTGTGGGAAAATAACTGAAATCATGAAAAAATATGAAATTTACAACTAATGGTAGATGGGACTACCGTGAATAAGTCAGTGTCAAGCGTCACCAAGATGAAATACTCATAGTCATTTCATATAACTTACATGATAATTTTTGTATTAGATTCACGATTTTCAGCGAGTAAAATAGAAACTGTCAATGGATAATCAGGTTTTCCCCAAGACAAAAGAAGTTGCACAATCTTAGCAATATTGCAATGCTCGTGGTTCCTTTTCGCAAAATGCAATTAATTTGTAACTTCGGAAATACATTTTTGCAAAAAATTCCAGTAATTTGCCACTGTACAAAATGAAAAGTGCGGAAGACTATAATTTTACAAACTTGGAGGTAAATACGAAGCTACCGTAAAATTTTCAAAACTTGCAAAACTTTTTCGTTCGTATTTTCAATTTTTTGTGGAGGCAAGTCATTGTAAACCCCTTTGCTGGCCTATTTCCAAAATTATACGGTCGAATATTATTTCAGACTCGTGGAAACTGTCCTCTCGTGTTGCTATGTGTAGGATCTCATTGAACCTTTCTGAATCATGAAGTAAGTCTTATGGGGCTTCCTAAGGGAAGTAGCCCTTTAAAGAAAGATTATGAATGAATATGGCTCTAGTCAGAGAGACTCTAAAAGTTATCTCGCCAAACTCTAACTCCAAACTCACAAAGTATTCTCCGAAATGGTTAACCCCTAATCAACAGTGCCGCTACTTTAATTATGCTTACCTAAAGTCTTATCTCCGTTGAACAAGTTGCCAAAATGAGCTGTAGCTCCTCCGATATCTAATTTGACCATTGTGTCCTTCACCTCCAGGTATTCCTGTCCTTTACGGTCAACCAATTTTCCCTGCATCTTGACCTTGACTTTCGCGTCCGCTGCAAGTAAAACATCCCATTAAATTAACATCGTGTCATTTAGACCCAAAGTAATTTCTAGAAACCCATTAAGTTCTCAAATCATGATCGTCTTGGCAACGTCTGAAGGTGCATACGGCGTTTTACCCTAGCGAGGTAGTATTAGTGTTTATTCTGTTTAAATTATTTTAAAAGTTAGTTAAGATACATAGCCTCCAGCGCTCATTAACATGTGCCTACAGAACGCATCATTAAGATAAATGGATTGAGTTATGAGGAAGACAATCACATCTGTATTGCGGTGTTTCAAAATTTCATGTCCTTCTTCATTTTTTTTGGAAGTAAACCAATCCCATTTTTTCCAAAATTTTGTAGAAAGCGCCCTTTGACGGACAGGAAAAATGGCACAAATTGCAGATGGGGTGTCGGTTATTTTCTTTCCAAAAAATTAAAATGGGAGATAAGATATTCAAACACTGCGATGTAGATGTGACTGTTTTGCTTAACTCTATCTAAATGTAAGTTTGCAACAATTTCTTGCGAGGGGAAAGATGAAATCTGAGGTACAATCTGAGGAGGAAAGAAGACTCTCGAAGCGTCTAGTACTTTTTAATAAGAATGTTAATCGTCATTAAAATAATTTTTTTGTAAGCGTGATCAAAGTTTCTTGAGTTTTGGGAAAAGTCAACTCATTCCTAAAAGTTCAAGAGTTCAACTTTCATGTGACAAACTCTAGTGTATACACTAGAACTACAACTCACTAACGAAATAGGAGTGCCTGCGTCCGGTAAAGTATGTAACACAGTCCACGTTGATGCTGGCTAGTTTGCATGTTTTGTAAATTGAAGGCGTTTTTATGCCGTGCAAAACATTCATACCGAGCATCAACTATTTTAACAACAGCAGACCCACAGTGGTAGTCCATGAGTTTTAAAAAATCTGGCCTTGAAAATGTTTTTTCAACGGAAGGAACGAATTTTCGGAGGAAAGTTTCGGAGGAACGAATACCGATTTCATTTTCCAAATTCAACGTCAATTTTTTATTTCTCCATTGAGGCAAAGTACACCTCGGTACACCTCATCAAATGAGCGTGCTATTCAAGATTCCATTTTCCGCCGAAATATCCATTCCTGAAATCTTGAAATCTTGAAGGATCCAGGATTTATTTGCATAGTGCATCACATATCATAGACTAAAGCCGAAAAAAGCGTACCTGAAATTCAGGATTGAGACATGCCTCATTTTTATTGAAAAAGAAAGCCAATCATCACGAAAACGTTATTGGCTTGAATATTTCAAGGTAAAATTTTGATTTTTGGGCTTGAGCCACTAGTTTGAATACTATTTCCCGATCCTTCCAAAATTCTCTGCATGTCGTCGTTTAAACGTATTAAGTTGAAGCGGAAATAAACTTACTCAAGTTAGCTTTGAAAATTCCGTTTCCTTGGATTGGGACGAGGAGTGCTCGGCCTCTGATAGTGTAATCGGACTCCAAGTGGAGTACTGGGATTGAAAGCATACCACTCACCATCAACGTGTCTAAATTAAGGCTGAGAAAAGAGATTGAGGAAAAAGGTTCAGATGCGGATCATTCAGCATATAAATAAATAGGATACCAAATAAAATTTAAGTTTGTGACGTCATTGGTAATTACGTATGGTAGGCGGCTAAGAATTAAGGGACAGACCTTAATAGAAATGCACAGTTTTATCTATGGAAAAAAAATAATTCGGGGCAGTTTTGAATTCAAATTTAGAAATTAGAAATGTAAAAAAAAATTAGAAATTAGAAATTTTCACCTGACAAAAATTCAAAGTCAAGATAAACATTTTGAACATTAAAATGACGTTAAACTTTGTTCTAATGTTGAGTCTATGGTGGGAAAAAATTCAAACTTTTTTTTCCATGTGCTAACTATGTATCTCTTAGTATATCCGGGAGATTTATGTAACAGACCAAAAGAAGGGTTTCTATAAGGGCTATTATTGGACCCACCCTAGCTGACTTACCTCAACTCAACGAATTTTTGCTCACTGAAGGTTTATATCAAACGGAATGCATCATGATTTGGTCCTTTCCAGTCTAATGTCAGGTCGAATTCTGATATGAACGTGGGTTTGAAGACCAATTCAGGAGAAAGTTACGAATTTTGCAGGTTTAGGTGAGGCCTACGGTTGAACTAGTATTAAACCAGAAACCTGACCCAAAAGTATCGAATCGTGATGCATTCCGTAAAATATAGACATTCATGCAGAACATTGTAGAGTTCGGGTAATTCATCGAGCGTGAGTATCATTATTTGTATGTATGGATCTCGGAAGGCATGGAGTGGAAGAGCCAGGAAAATGTTGATATTTTCAATGAAAGAAAACGCAGGACTGGTGAAGAATTCCGTTCCTACAGTTTAGGCAGTCCTACAGTACAGGCCTCCTATGGTGTAGTGGCTGTAGCGCTTGCTCTATGATCGGGAGGTCCCGGGTTCGATTCCCGGCCAGGCGACCCGAGTTTGATGGTCTCAAACAATGGTTACCTGGGACTGGTTCAGTAGGGACGGAGGGGGGATGGGACTTAAAGCGTGGGATTAGCCCTTGAGGGCTATTTAAATAGTAAAAAAAAAAAAAAAAAAAAAAAAAAAAAAAAAAAAAAAAAAGTTCGTAACGTATTCCGCTCTGAGGAAGCTGGAATATGGATGATAGAAAAAGCAGATACAGATTTTCGTTCCGGAAACTCGGCATGGAACTTCCATGTAATAAAGTGCATGCATGGAGTAACTGAGGACTTACTCAATTTTTTGGAATTTGTAGTGGCTGAGACCGTAAACTTTGAGATCCTTCAGCTTGGCCTTGTAGTTGACAGCCTGCGTCCCTTGTTCCAGAGTGACCATCGGAATGTGCAGAGGTTCTACGGACGGGATGTTCAACTCAGGAACCCCTGTAATAAAATGGAAGATGAAATCCTGGTTCCTCTGTTTATCATCTTATTGAGTAGGCTATTTCTTCATGGTATACCAGGGTCGTCGAGGAAATAAGGTCACTTGTTCAATATTTCCTCAACTAAGGTAGAAGAAGAAAATCTGTAGAAAGCGTTGAAAACTACTACTCTCAGCTTTCTAACGCGTCATAGATTTTTAAATTTGACTCGATAGAACTCAAGAAAAGTGGGTTTTTCTGAACCCGCCTCCGCTCCGTGAAATTTTGGACCCGTGCGGACTGCGGAGAGGAGGTGGGTTCAGGAAAACCCACTTTTCTTGAGTTCTATCAAACCAAATTTAAAAATAAATAGCGCGTTAGAAAGCTGAGAGTAGTGGCTTTTCAACGCTCTCTACAGATTTTCTTTGCCTACCTTAGTTTAGGAGATATTGAACAAGTGAACTTACTTTCTGGAAATTGACATACGCCGCGCCGTCACGCCAGAGGAACGATGAAATATCCACGGTGAAATTACCAGACGACGTATCTCCTCTGCGTGTTTCAAAATTTCCGCTCGCATTTTATTTCTTCCAAGGAGAACAAATAATCCATATCATTCCTTGAAGTTTTATGAGTTTTCTTCGCATATAGAAGAAGAATCAGGGAAAATCTCAAGAATTGATGTTGAGTAGTTTTTCATTTAAAAAATAAAGTACGACTGGAAGTCTGCGACGTCGTAACCCGAGGTACGCGGTTCAGTAGTTCACCGTCGACGTGCGGTAAATCAGAGTAAGTTCACGACCTCACGAGAACTCACAATAAATTAGCATAATTATGCTGATCTCTGTAATTCACTCCTTAGCGCGTAATCTGCGTAGTTGTAACACGCTTTTTCAAATGCGAGCTTTATGCGGGCGGTTTTTTTGTCAGGTTTGCCCAGAGAGAGACCTAACTTAAATATACAAACAATCTCTCGAACTGTTATAAACTCTCCTTGCCTCAGATTTCAATTGCGAAGTCTTTGTTTTTGTACAATAAAGAATGAAAACAGGAACAAACGCTTCAAAATGATTGGAATCGCACGATGGATAAAGTTTGTGGAGTCGTTCGTTAACTCGTGTTAATTTTTCTTACTCGTCTGCCTGCATACCCGGTCGACGGGAACCGAAAAAATTTACCTGCAGACGCGGGAAACTTGAAAAAGCGCACCACAAACTACGCAGATTGCCCTAAAAAAAGGATTTTAGACTTTTTTAACTTGTCCAGAGTGATTTTTGTGTGATTTTACCCGTTCAGAGTACATAGGACGTATTTCTATCGAAGAGAACTATGTGGAGGTGGGAAAGATGGGGTGTGCTCGTTAGTGCTCGAGCCATATAAATGAATGGGAAATATGGTGCGCCAGTGACGTTGTCGTCGCCGCGCTTCGTCCTTAACTCATGAGCCCTGTGCACAAGTCTCTAGATACATGCCCACGGCTCATGAGTCCCGCTTATGGTTGGCTCACGGTTCCGTTTGCTGAATTGGAAAAACGGGATTTTACATTCTGTCAAAGAGAACTATGTGCACATGTATGAGCCATGGTCATGTGTCTAGAGCCTTGTGCACAGGGCTCACGAGTTGACACCTCGGATCGTCGCCCTTCGTCGACGGCAACGTCACTGGTGCTTTATGATTCCCATTCGGACGTATTTCTACCAAACGGAACTATGTGCATTAAGACATGAGCCCTGAGACCCATAAGAATGTGTGCATAGCAGGGCTCACGTCATAATGCACATAGTTCCGTTTGACAGAAATACGTCCACTCATTCTTACGGCCCTCGACCGAGGAGCACACCTCATCTTCCCCACCTGCATATAGTTCTGTTTCATAGAAATACTTACATTCAATTGGATGTATCTCTTGCGTGCAACAGACCCATTATCAACAGCCGACAATCGTATTGTAACAAAGTTTTATTGAAAAGTCATTTTTTGTGTAAACTCGCTAAAAAGTCACAGTGAATAATGCATCATTTTCCTCCTCAGTCATCATTTTCTTTATAAAACATTTTCACAGTTCGTCGCTGCTGTGGCGTATGAACGTATGAGAGCCCTAAAAAATATGGATTTATACGGACAAAAGGGCTCAACTCAAAAAGCAGTTACGCCTTTACGTCTGAAGAGTCACCAGGAGGCTTCCCGATTTGAGGCACCTCCTACTTGAAGACTTTACCTTTGCAGCCCCCCCCCCTCCCACTAGAGTACCTTTATAGACAGAGTATGGCCATTTCTGTTCCGGTTTTTCATTTTTTTTTTATTTTTTTTTGTTTCACTGTTCCTTTATTAATTCAAGCGCTTATCAACTATGTGACAAAAATTCATTTACATTATGAAAATGCAGAGGTACAAATATAAATATTATAGTTAAAATCAACTTTAAAGAATAAAAAGATTGCAGAAGAGAGAGAGCCGGAAGCGCAAATCAGCATATCGTCAGCTCCCACTCCTGATTCCTAACAAATTGGAATAGACAATGGATTTGAAAACTAAAGTACTGGACAGGATAAATGAACTAGAAAGAAATTTAAGAAGAGTCTAAAGCATTAGACACTAGAGATTTAACTGTAAGAATATCTTTTACAAATCTTTTGACTCTAGTCCACACTGTCAAGTTCTTCGTGGCCATTTGCTGGAAATTTTCGACACATGGGTCCTCTCCCAAGTCGGCACAAATCCGATTTTTCATTGGTCGCGTGAAAATAAGCTGACACGATGTTCTTACGGCCGTAAATAAACAAACAAGATGGCTGTTATCAGCAAGAAGATTGAGGTTATGCGCATCTTACATCCTCCTGTGATAAAGGTGAAAGGCGATTTAACAATGTTTTCATGTGTTTTTCGTGTGTTATTCGTAGATATGCTAAATTAAATTGTTACTGCCGTATAATTGAAATTTTTGTCAAATTTTAGCTTCTTATCGATGTTACGGTGAGCCGCCATCTTGTTTGTTTATTTACGGCCGTAAGAGCATCATTAAGCCTAAAAACTCGTAGACCAATCAAAAAACGGAACAGAAAACGTAGTAACGCAGTAAACGGAACTGTAGTAAAAGATACGAATGGCCATACTCTGTCTATAAAGGTACTCTGCCTCCTACTTCCGGCATTTGTAGAATGAGAGCGAGAAGGGCCTAACTGCACTGCAACTGTTCAAAATTTTACTTATTTTAAAGTTTCTATCATCTTTTCAAGAAATCGTCGCAAGTAATTTTTGAAATAATCTTATCAGTTTCCTTCTGGTTTGACATAAATGTTCCAAGATTTTGAATCTAAAATATACATCATTGATGGAAAGAAGGAATAAGGTCAAGTGGAACGCAGCAGTATAGCAACGCTGTTAAGCTTTACTGGCTTTGACACCTTTCCTGGAGGTTTAATGGGGGTAGCCGGTAGCCCCACTACAGACTGCCGCAGGTGCTGAAATTCCCTGATTCCGGCCCCGTCTAAATTAGTCTGTGATCATTCCGAGTGCTAGGCGGACTGATTATTCAATAGATAAAACGATAGAACTATAACAAAAAGAGGAAATGGAGCATTCTTATTGGTTGAAATGGGTGATTATCAAATTCTAAGAGAGAAAATGATGGCGATTAACTACAGGGTCTCTCGTCGGTTGCCGATAGTTGCCAACCGGTTACCGTTCTAATCAATAGAATAGCTGCATTTCCACTTTGTCATCTTTTTCCATAGCTTTGTCTATCAATTTCAATAATAAGCCCACAATGAACCTTCAGACTTTGCCAAATTTCTTTTCATGAAGGATGAATTTTCTGGAAAACTTGTGACACATTTTTTTTACAGAACATTCTGTGCGATTCATTTCAGTGTATATGCAATTGTTAGTGAAATATCTTCATAACCATCCTTAAGATAAATATTTAATCGGAAGCAATTTGGCAACATTTAAATGTTCATACGGCGTTTTCCCTCAGGACGCGCGGCGACGCGCGGCAGTGCTGGTCTGATGTGTGGTGCGAGTCACACGTAGTGACACTGACCTCACATGAGAAAACACTGAGTTCTATTGAACTTGTTTCTTCCACGTCCGATGATACACCGGGATTTGGCACCTTTCGCAAGTACGTCTAGACTATAACACCTTGTGTAATTGAATACAGTCCAAGATGACCGGTGACATTCAATCCTAATTGTAATTCCGTCAGTATAAAAGGAAGAACTCATTCTTTTTTCGCGTCCTTCCTTTGCGTAGGTTTTTGCACACTTGATGAGGATCAAGTCGGAATATTTTAATTATCTACATCTACATTCGACTGGTTCAGGACCTGGCAAAAAATCTGAAATTTGCCGCATGAAGGTCTTCTTTTCAAGTTCAAGTTGAATTTTTCCAAGACCAAGGAGAAACCTGACGTGCTAAGGAAAAATGCCGTATGAACATTCGAGAGTTGCCAGATTCGCTCCGTTTAAATATTAATTTTTTTAGGAGAGATATGAATATTGCAACTTGAATTTTCAGATGACTTCGATCTGATCGTAAATGGATTCTCTGGAAGCTCAAAATCAAATATTTACAAGTTTCCTATAAAATGTATGGTTAATCAGAGGAAATTCGGTGAATTCTAAAGGCTAATACGACGTTCTTCCTCGACTGAGGTAAGAATTAAAAGGAATTATTGAGATTTTTTCTTCCCCCAAGATAATGAATAACTTTTGGCAGCTTTGGGGATGGTCACGCCCAAGTCGATCACTTTCCTGTTTTGACAACGTCAATGGAAAACACATATCCTCTTTACGAGTATAATACGCTTGCAAATACATGAAAACAGGAAAAATGTATGAGTTCCGCATAGTAATGGGGGAAAAGCGTCAAAGCAATTTTAAGATTGGTTTTCTTCCTTACAGCTGTTTTCTATTTTTTATCTTCGCTTTCAGTTTCATATCTTTTGAAACCAAATGTGACGTTTATTTTTTTAAACTGAAATAATTACCCTTTGCAATGTAAGGTTTTCCCTTTGTTACTTGTTGAAGTACACATTTGTTCAATTCTGGGTCGCTCTGCGGGCAAGGTTGAATGGTTGCTGAAACAAATAAAAAAATTAATGTTGAAGATTTCACTGTGCGGTTGGTTTTTCTAGCTACGAAAAATTGAAGAAAAAAGCAAAGGCAGGGAATATGAGCGATACGTTATTTTTATACCACACTGCTCTGAATATACTTTCCGGTGAGAACTTGCTGCAATTGCAGTAAGTGTCGTGATTTTTCTTCACGAATCCAGGTCCAGAACTCAACTAAGTGTGAGTGATTTGATGACTTGCAGCCAACCTATGCGATTTGCATTTTTTGGGAGATGGGTCCAGCATTTTGAAAGTGATCGCCATTATTGTCAACATAGAAAATTAAGCAGCTTGTCTCTGGCAAGTATGTTGCATTTTTAAGCCACTTTGGCGTTACTAGCATTCCTTAGCTTATCCAGTTTGGCCTGCCTATTTTAAGTTTGGCTCACATTTTGCAATAAGAAACTGTTTTTTTCTGACCCACCCATAAAGCACTTATCTGCACTGAGGGATTACTAGTACAAAAGTGTTTTTAAAATATAAAAAGTAAGTATATTGATTCTAAAATGTAGGACATTTTTAACACTTATATATTGTTTTTGAAATATTAATCTGAAGCAGTAATTAATTTGAGCAATTTTTCTGTTCGCTCGTTTAAATCTCCAGCAAAAAGGAGGGAGACTACAGCCATTCGGAGGAAAAATGCGGCTATTAAGACACGCGACCATATCTCACTCTATAATGTAAAATCTCTGCAATACAAAATCATGAGAGTGAATCAAAAACATCTGTGACGCCAAGTGTTTCGGTCAGGGGGCGGGCGTAGCCCCTGTCCCCTAGTATTTTTTAAAGAAACCTCGCTTGTCAAAAGTCATTCTACGCAATAAGGTACGTTGAAACTTCAGACTTAAAACTGTTTGTGGCAATGATGAATAAACTTTGTCGTATGCAATTTTGAAGACTGGTTTTTGTGGGTAGTTTTATTTTCTTAATTTTACTTTCTATATAAATACATATTTCAAGGAGGACATATTAAGAAAAATAGATGAATGTGGCAGTTAGGCGTCGGATAGCGCCAGTGAGCGCCGTGAAAACGAATATGTCTTACCCATATTTGTTTCTTTTCTATTCCGATTTCATTATTTTTTTCCTTTCCATGTATTTCCTCTTATTATAAATAAAAAAATTGAACTTGCCTTTTAGTTTGAAAATTCCATAAAAAGAAAACCCAGCACACTGCAAGGAAACCGAGAGTATAGGCTTTTTACCGGTGTATTCAAAATTAATGTTTGCAACTTTAAGTTGTGCCGGTACAAAATCGAAGCATGTCGCACATGGTATTAGAACAACCGCAGTAGACTGTAGAAATGTGTTCATCTTTATATTGGATTTCGTTGAATTCCACTTAGCAATGAAATGGGGCGTAAACCATGGCTATTGCAATGCGATTGGAAATGTCACGCCAGCTGGCAAACCTGCAGGCATGCGCGCAATTGTTGGATCTCTTTGGACAAACTTTGCACACGGGGTTTCAAGAAGTCTGGCTCCTTCCGCCTAACTTTTTGAAGACCCAATATATGGATTGAGTTTCACAAAGATCAACCGAGATTTCGAATAGCAAGAGGTCTGCTCGATATCAAGTTTTTCCTCTTATTTATTGAAAAAAAAAATTGCGTCTCATAATTTTAATTTTAGCAAACTACCGGAGTTCTTACTGTTTTTTCTGACCAAAGACGCCATATTTGCTGCTAAGATTATTAATTTTGTTCGAATTTTTAGTAAGCGAGTTCTCCTTCTCTGAAGGCAAAAAAGCCTTATCAAAAAAAAAAAAAAATAAATAAAATAAAAAAAATAAAACAAAATTGAGTGTTAAATAATTGATAAGATTTCCAAATGGTGAAATCAATTTAGGGAAAGAATCCTACTGCATGGTGATGCTCAAATATTCCCTCCGATGCAAATGATGAGCACAGCCATTGTTTTCCAAGATAAAAAGGGTTTCTTCCTGTTCAAATCCGTATCTCAACCTTGTCTGTATGCTGGACCCCTAAAGGCTTTATAAACAGGGAGGTTTTGAAAGTCAATTTGTAATTTGACCATTTTTATTGCACTCAATTCTTGGTTTTGTTAGTCTCAACTCACTTTAAAATCAGAACACAAAATATGCGTGGAATAGATTTGTAAAATCTGATGAATTTTTCATTTTTTAACAATGTCGGAGCGCACTAACCATTATCACCCACTGATGAACCGGGACGCATTAACTTTTTTGTTGTACTTGAATTGCATGTTTTCCTCGGCGTCTTGAATAACAACAATTAACAATTACAGAACAAAAGCCGGCGATGGAGGCCTTATTGAAAGTTGTAAATGAACCTAATAATTCACACAGGAGGACAGTAGTTGAACTATCAATTAACACGATCTCATGTATTTACTGATATCATTCTGTTTGGTTTTCGTCTCACATTTTTTTAGAACAGTCCGTATTTAATAAGGACTAATACAGGAGCCTGGATGCCCATACTTGTTTTATTTACGTACGTATCGTACATGCAGTGGTGGCATCAAACAAGTATGAGAATCATGGTTCCTGTATTAGTCCTTATTATATTATTCATATTATGCTACTCCAATCATGTTTAATTAACTGTCCATATCTTACCAGAAAAGAAATTCTTGAAGGATTTTATTCCTATGTCTTTGTGATTTTGCGCTTTGATTCAGAAATGGATGACACAGATCTTGCGATTATCAATAAATTACTTTTTAACATGAATCATTTGTTTTTATTCATTTACTTTTATTTTATTTGTTTTAAATTCTTACTGTCTCGAAGTTCCGTTGTAGCTTTGTTACAGTTGTAGCCAAAGTGAATTGCATCAAGTTTGTCCGGTGATATATATATTCGCAACAAAATATACTCTTGAGTGTATTCTTTTCACCCTCAATTTATTCGGTCAATCAGCGACTGTCCTTTGAGATTTTCAAAAGTGGGTCGAATTTTACAGACACACATTACGTCGTATTTTGGTAAAGTTTGAGTTGGAGAAATGTTTATAATTTTGTTTTTTTTTTAACATTTTTTCGCGGCAAAAGTTCCAAGTCGAGAAGAAATATTGTCAAGGGGAAAAAGTCAGGAAAAGGGGGGGAAATCCAGTCCATAACAGTCTTATGGAGGAATGAAACTCCAAACTTCCTTTCCTCTCCTCTAACTTAATCGAAAACATTTTTTCTTATAAGATATTATATTGACTTAAAGAGCGAGGGTTTATTATCAACAAAATTTAATTTTTTAATATAAAATCCGTGCAGATTAACTTGAAGTAAAATTTTTTTTAGTTAAAAAAGCATTGTTTTGTTATTGTTAAGTTAAAGTAAAAAAAACAATAACAAAACAACGTTTCTTCAATTTAAAAAAAAAAACTGACTATAAGTTAAAAAAAAAAAATTGACAAGAAATGGCGCTGTAAGTCAAAATAATATCTCAAGAACTTTTTTTCAGTGTGACTTGTCTCTGTTATACTTGATCCAATTTAGTCTCTTGACGATGATTCGAGCCAGGGCTGTACGTTTGACAAAAGATAATTGACGAAGATATGGATAAATATGGTTCCACTTACGTAATTTATGTGCTGGTTTGGCTACCAGAGGAACAAGGCATATCACAGACAGGACGGTAAACACAATGAGGGCACTCATTTTGGGGGCGCGGGAAAAATGTAGAGTAATTTAAAATGAAACGTAGAAAGTGAGGAAAACGTGCCAACTGGGATCTTGGGTGTCGCACTAAATGTTTTGAGAGCTTTGGATGAGTTAAAAAAAATTAAAAAAAAAAGTTCAAATCCGTGGGCGAATTTCCTCAGGTACTCATGAGGTGTGCCGAGCGTTTGAATCTACAGTGCGCTTGAGCGCTCATCTCCCCTCCAAGCCACCCGCGATGCGCCCCCCGAGGGGTCGCCAAATCGCCCCCCGAAATCCCCGTGTATCGTCCGGGCGCCGGCGGATTTTCGAGCAATCCGACAACAATGCCATGGAACCAGTTTTGCCGAGCTTTCGGCTTGCGAACTAGGAAGATGCCTTACAATCGGCGTTGCCAAATTTTCACCAATCAATTAAAATCAACTAAAAAAAAATCCATATCACAAGGATTTTCTTAAATTTTACATTTTTGAGATATTGTGACCACGATCGGCCTTAAATAGGGGAACCTTTGTATTTCTCAAAACAAAATCGCTGTCTCTACCCCAAGATTTTCAAATTACATTTTTTTTTCAATAAAAATGTATTACAGACTCGAAAATTGCTCTTATAAAATATATTGCCTTTCGCTTCATATCAGAACTAAGAAGATTTTGTGCGATGAAACAAATACAAAAAAATTTGGATTTTTCATACGTGTTTTGTTTTGCCAATAGAAAGGACAATTTGTTTTAAAACTAAACCAATGAGTAATGTATTTACCTTTGACAAAGTTCATTACCGGAAGTAAATTTTCGTTTATTGAAGATCATTCCTGTTTTCATTGCAAACAATCAAAGGAGCTTAGAGTGTCTTAGCACTTCTTTTTAGTACAAGGATGGTTCATTCTTTTTTTGTAAAATTGAACGAGAAAAATTGTTCTCTACGAATGCTTGAAGCTTTATTATTTTCATATCCAAATACCGCTCTCAATTTACATCAGCTCGTGCAGAGCTTCTTTGAAAACGCTCGTAAATCATAATTTAAAAACGTAATCCAAACAGTTCCATAAACAAATTCTACATGCGTAGTGATACCCGGTGAATACGTAGCTGAATGATTTGTATTGGGATTTTGTGGTAGGATTTTTAAATGATTTGACTTAAGCAATTTTAAAAGGATTTCTTAAATCGTAGAAATCATGAAGGTATCAAAATGGAGGCGAAACCTCAATAAAAAAGTTTTGAAAGTTGATTTCGGTTTGAAATTGAAATGAGTTAATTCTTGCTGAAATTACTTACCAGATATCAATAGAAATTAGCACGAGCTCTCTGACCCCCCTTCCCTCTACTGTTATTTTTTTTAAACTGTTCGTTCAAAACTGTTACTAAACTGATAGTCCGTAGGTGAGTTCCCTGTACTTTGATTAACTCACGATGACGCTGAGAGCATACGGGGCGCTAGGCCGCGTAGTAACCGTAGGCCGTAGCCCCCTGGTAGTCTCTAATAATTCTTAGTGGCTTGTAAAATCTCGTTTTTTTTAGGTGACATGGTGACCATGGTCGGAGCTTGCGCGAAGTCATTACACTGGCCCTAGGCGTGTTTGTTTAATGTTCGGTATTAATCATCATCATCACATTCTTCTTCTTCCACTCCTTTCCTTCTTCTTCTCATCTTGTCTCGCGTGCAATGCGTCCTGGCGCGTGATCACGCACTTGTGCCCTCAGAAGCGAGTGACCTCTTGACCCAGCGCGCGCGTTTCCTGGGCAATGAAATCTAGCTTCCCTGCAGGATATGACAAAAGTTCGGTGTTTTACATTTGAGCTTGTGACTTCCTTCCAGCTTTTTTCTTCCGTTTTTTTAGTCTGCTTTTAATGAGTCTACCGCTCACTAGCGAAAAAGCAAACTGCAGGCAGATTATGGAAATTGATAGACAGAGTGACCGACAAAAGTGCAGCGATTATATTGGTTGCTACGGGTTTTTGTTTTAGACTAAGGCGGATTGGATGAAGGGTCTCCTGTGGTTAGTCTATTGCGTACCTCCTTTGTCCATTGCAACCACCTGCTACCTCCAATGAGAGCGCTCCATTTTCTCTTTGTCCTTTTTGTCTATTACTTTGTCCATCAATTTCAATAATCAGCCCACTGAGTAGATTTTTAATGGGTTAAATTTCATGAAAATCACGGGGAGCACATACATCCCACTCCTTTGTTCCAATTTTTTGTAGCCCGAATAGCACCTTTTCAAATTTACTACTTTTCTCTAGGTAGCCTCTGTAACCAAGTTCGGACTACGTAAATGGCACGTCTATGAAGGCATTTAGACATTTCTGATGTGCTCGGCGTATTGGCCGGGCCATTGGAGCTCATTGTTTAAAATTTATTACTGAAAAAACGGAGTGAAGTAAGCTTCCAGGGATTTTTTTGAGCCTAAATGTCAAGAAACTCCCGTTTAGAAAATGCCACTGATGTGACCTGTTTAAAGCGATATTTTTGGCGGGCTCTGGATGAAAAGGCTGCGGTGAATCCAGGCGAGGGAAACTGCGTTTGCTGATTGGCTGGTCTCAGCTTGAGTCATTGCCTTGGTACGTCGCACAGTGGATTGAGTCAATTAAAGACGTCTGACTTGAAATTTTTGACTAAAACTGCAAATTTTGTTGTATATTTCGTCACATTTTAAATTTAATGGGGGGCTTCTATGAAAGAATTTTACAAGGAAACCAAAGAAACCACTTTTAGAACCTGCAAGTTGTGTACGAACGGAGTTATAAGCGTTTAAAGTTTCCAAATTTTGTCCGACCTCTTCCATCGACTCGAACCGCTGTGCGTCGTCGACTCGACTGTCGGCTTTTTCCTTACGTAGAGATGATTTTTTGAACTTTTAAATGAAATTTATGGTTTTTTCACGATATTTTACCTCCGACGAGTTATATGTATTACAACCCTGCAAAAATTCCTTGGGACTGGCCCATTGATTTGTGAATGTATCTCTAAAAAGCGTCGGTACTCTACTCGTTTGAATTTTCTGAGTTCAACAGACTCATTCTGAGGGTTCATTCGAACACTCTTTGGCCTGGTGGTACTTCGTTTAACGATCTAGTATTTTATCTAGTCATGAAATTCGTGAGCTGAGATGGACTCATTGAAAATATCTTAATTACAAAAGAATGGGAATGAGCCATTAGTAATTTTTATTTCTAAATTTTTAACGGGAGAGGAGGGGTAGGCCGGTAGGGTGTCCCTTATTTTTTGAAATTTGAGTAAAGCTAAGCTCCGTTGGTCTCAAAACGTGCTATGAGGTGCAAAAATGAGGAATATTTTAAAAAACTAAAAACATTTTTCAGAGGTCTTTCAGGTGCCTTAACGAGCACGCATAAAAATTGATGTTTTAGCCAAAAAAGTGTTTTCTCTCAGAGGAAACCCTAAAATTATGCCCGTTTAGATCCAAAACGTGGTGCATTTGGCTGTATCTGTATCCGGAAAGCCGGAAACGGGGAATTCAGGCGCGAAAACCACCCTGCACTGCGGCGCACTCTTTAGGTCACGCAGTGAACTTGACCCTCGCACTCCCGACATAGCCTTGCAAATGGTTCATCCCGCTAGAAATCGACGATTTATGCTCGAGCGCCCGAAAATTTTCCGCCATTTTGCCGTACCTCTGAGTATGTTTGACCTTAAACTACCATTTTTGGGGGAGAGGTAAAGCTGCTTATCGGGCGCGTCCATGGATTCGGCTCTTTGTAGCACTGCCTATTCCATTTCGCCTCCTGTTTCTCAAGCTTACATCTTTCTTATCCTTACAGACAACTTGACTCGTGCGTTTTCCCTCTTCTCTTCGCTTTTTTTATTGAAAATATCAATATCAGTCTTCTTGGGGGAAATATCCAAAACTATCATTGAAGAGTTGCTTCCAACCGTTCAGGATACGGGATTGCTGTAGATTTCATGTCCGCGTTTCGATCTCATTTTCGTCTTCAGTCTTCTTTTAGAACTAAATTATGGAAAAAAAATTTTGTTCTGAAGATGCGCGATTTGATGATTTACAGTAAGAGACGACATTACTTTTGGCAAATTACCAATTTTTAGATGTGCGTCCTTTTGACGGGCGCTCGAGAGACCTCTAAAAAAGTCTTTATTTCTTATTTTTTTTTAAAGAAAAAAAGAAAAACTTATTTTTACACCTCATAGCACGTTTTGAGACCAAGGGAGCAAAAATGTTCTCAAATGTCAAAAATAAGGGACACCCGAGAGAAGGGCTACATGGTAAGAAGTTTCTTTCAAGAAAGGGGGGCCCAAAGCCAGAAAATCACGAGAAATGACTATTTGGAAACTATTTTCAGTAGTGGGGGGAGGGAGGGGGGACATTGGAGTCCAAGTCTCGCGAATCCACCTCTTCTTGGCAACGCCACTCTGAATGTCAGATGGGAAAATCACTAAAAATAATCGCTGAAATAGCCTAATAACGCACCAACAAACTAGTGTACCAATGCATCCGTCTGAGCTGTGCACTCTCCTCTCTCAGTCCTGTACCGATACTCATTAGAGCCCCCCTGCTAAAAATGTTCCATGTGGATTCACGTGGAAATGACCCGATTTCCATGTGATTTCATGGAAATCGTCTGACTTCCATGTCCTTCGACATGGAAATCATAACGTTTCCATGAAACTCACATGGAAACCAAGTCATTTCCATCAAGCCGTCATGGAAATGAAAACATTTCCTTGTGAGCTCGACATGGAAATCATAACGTTTCCATGCAACTCACACGGAAACCAAGTCATTTCCATCAAGTCTTCATGGAAATGAAAATATTTCCTTGTGAGCTCGACATGGAACTCATAACACTTCCATGCAACTCACACGGAAACCAA